CGAAGTGGACTTTGATTTCCAGTACGAAATTCTCAACAAAATGGTCTAACAGGTGATCTTCGCATGCTATTTGTTCTTTAGCAGACAACATCAACGATAATTTTCAATTTCATGATTGACCAGAATTGACGCAGGCAACAGAAGAGGCAAGATCAACCTGTAACATAAAGAATCATAAGGAAATTTTCGACAAATCGGGCTAGGCGGCGCCAAGGCGCTAGGCGCCCGCCTAGGCGGCCTGGGCGGCTCTATGGAATATAAAATTAGTTTCTTTAGGTTTTTCTATTTTCTTTTTTGTAATTAAACAATATCTTTGCTTTATTTTAATTATTTTTATTAGTAATTATTTAATTATTATTTCTTTAGTGAACAATTAGTATTATATATTTTAATTAAATTCATAAATTACTTTACTTAATAAATAGTAATTATTATGTTTTAATATTTTTCGGACTTTAATTTTCATAGGGATTTTTTTTTTTTTTTGGAATAGCTAATTAATTAATATTTTTAATTGAATCTTAGTCTTATTTAATCAATATAATTACTAATTAGCTTTTAGTTATTATTTGTTTCATAAATTACTTATCAAATAGTAATTAATTTCAATTAATTTTTATGAATTATTTGTGCTCTTAAAAACCAAGAAAGTGGTTGCAACATAGTAGTATATATCACAAAAGAACCAATACATACATATAGTACTTGATTGACTGGTTTGTAGTGGTTACATGCTCTCAAAATACGCAATTGATGAGTTCTATTCGATAAAATATGCTGTCTATAGTTTTGGTGGATTGGTGGTAGAGATACTGAGTGGGAAGAGAAACATAGGATATACTCATTGCTTTTTTTTTTTGTTTATTCTTTTAACTAAGCACAATGATTTTGAACTTTTGATAAATTCTTTTAGGCATGGATGCTATACACAGAAGGCTGGTCCATTGAAGTGCTTGATACATCAATAGGAGAATCAGGTGATCCACATGAAGTTTGAGATGATCTCATGCATGTAGGTATATTATGTGTGCAGCGTAACCTGGGAGATAGGCCGAGCATGCCAATTATAGTTCTAGTGCTAAGTGGTGAAGGGTCATTGCCTCAACCTCAAAAACCTTGTTCTTATAGTGAAAGGGATCTCAATGAACTCGAATTCGGTCATTCTTTTAAAGCATTTTCAACAAATGAACGCAAGTGCTTCATATTTGGGGCAAAGATTCATGAAGTTCCAAATTGTGTGAGGAAGGATCTCCTAAAATGCCACTGCAATGTGCACGTGCTATAAGGGTATGCAATTACAGTCACTTCAAAAATAAAAATTTAAATTAAAAAAAAAAACACCTAGCGCCCATATACTAGTTTTTTATAATAATAAAAAACCGTAGTATAGCCGTGCTATACAATTTATTAAAAAAATATTAAAAAGACCCTTCAATTTGCATTAGCTTATACTTTATAGATACTAGCCCCTTGGCACATGCTCACACATGTGCCAATTGGTTTTCTTTTTTATTTTTTATTTTATTTTTAGAATTAAGAAAATATAACATAGGTAGTTATGTTCCATAATAGTAGGGCTTAGTATCTGATTTTGTTTTTATTTTTTATTTTTTTAAATATGAAAAAAAATGTGAATTTACCATATTATCCTCATTTAATTAATAATTTCAATTCTTAATGTTTGAATTAACCAAGGGCATTTTTTGGTATTTTGAATATTTCACCATTTTCTGCAATTTGCTTTATATATATAGATTAATTTACTAGTTTCGATATATGTACTTTATAGATTTAATTTTGTAATATATATTATTTTGTGTGTGTATAATATGTGAATTTTATGTGTATTATTGAAAATTTTGTAAAAAAATCAAGTGAACTAAACATGAAAATTACATATGTACATGTAAAATACGAGTATTAAACATGAAAATGCTAAATTTTTTATACGGCTAATAACTCTGAAAAAGTAAAAACTCAAAAGGGTACAATAAAGACTCATGTAAAGGCCTAATAATAAAGGATAATGCTCTAAACTATCGATAAACAAAAATTGGGGAAAAAATATAATAGTATCCATGTAGAGAGTATAGCCGAGCGGCTATACTATTTATTAAAAAAATATAAAAAGCCACTGTATAGCCGCGCGGCCATACTATTTGCAGTAGAAAAGTTCAAATCTGGCTCAAAACTAAGCACCACAAGATGCTAGAGAAAACGACCATGAGATTCTAGAGGTACATTAATGATAAAATAGGATGCTTATTTATATTTGAAGTATCAGTGTGACGTCAAACGACAGTGTTTTAGACTATCAGTTAACAATATCTTCACATAAAAAATAAAACAAAGAATTTGAACTCCATAAGAATGCTAAGAAACATAGGAAAGGCTTTTACTGTCACTTAACATCAACTGTAGGAGACTTAATGGAGCCAAAAGGATACATATCTCCAAGGTCACCCAGACTGCTGCTGCCCATTGTATTCATACTCACAGCAGATATTGCCAGGTCAGGGAAAACTTCGAAAGGGTGCTATAGTTGTCACTTAACCTCAACTGTAAGAGTCTCCTTGGAGTCAGAAGGATCTACATATCTCCAAAAGAATGCCAGACTGCTTCCCATTATATTCATAATCACAGCAGACAATGTTGCCGGGTAATGCAACTATCGGAGTGGTGAAATGAGAAGTGGCCAAAACCACACCCAAAGAAGAATTTTGCATACCAACTTGCGAGTGTCAAAACATGTAAATGAAGGATTAGTGTTGCATGCCCACCAAAATTTATGAAAGTTTCGACATTTCAATCTCAGCATAAAACAATGAAGATCTTCAATGGACTTACAATAAAGTTTAAGAAGAGAATTTTTATATTTTTATTACCAATTTGACCAAAGCCGAAACAAAACTAGAACACAAGGATTCACAGAAAGCCAGATCATGTCTTAAGCATTCTATTTGATTAATACCTCAATTGATATTGCTCGTCTTCGTGCTTCTCTAAACCCGCAAACAGCTGCTGATATATACCTGCAAATTAAGACTTTCCTTGATCAACAAAGACTCCTCAAGTTGCACATTTGCACCGCAAAAATTCCAAAACAAACTAAACAATCAGGCCCAACACCACAACCTTAAAGAATATTTGTATGAGTGCAAACTTTGCCCACAATGCTCGTATACAAAACTAGCTTTTATCTTCATATGTGAAATTAAAATCCACATAGACAAAGAAGATTGAATATATACTTTCTTACTGCAATAGATTTTATGGCTATGAAGTCATAATGACAGCAAACTATAGTTTCTCAACTGTTGCTTACAAATTATGAATACTTTGTTTTTTCAAAGTACAATTAACTTCACTCTATAATTTATATATCAAACTTGACAGAAGCTAAATCAAACAGCAATAATACACTAATACAAGGCTACAACGTAATTTTTTTACAATTTTTGAGCTAAAATTAGAGTGAATCTTTACATACTGAAAAAAATGTATACATTACTACCTTGAGCTTTTTCCACAACAACACACTTAACAATTAAAGTCACCAAAAGTTAAAGGCAACTTACCCCACAAAGAAACCAAGCAATATGTACTATAACAGCACAGAAAGAATAACCACCCCAACTTCTCCAGATAACACTGTCTGAGCATGAGCCATTAGAGACAGATCAGCCAGCAATGTTACAGCAACCATTGAAGCTTTGAGACGGACAACATTCTCAGAGAATACACTGGCCCACAAAATAAAATCTAGTATGTTTGAGAAAGAGAGCACATTTGGAAGGAACCACAGGCAAGACAATCATATTTTACACATAAGTAATTAAAAAGATATTTATATGCACAACAAATGTACCTGCATGCAAGCAGTGATGCAGCTAGAACAGCAAAAAGTGGTGCAAAAGGTATCACAATTTTAACCACTGCGGGAAATGCACTCTGCATATAAGAACCTAACAAAATTGGAGCAACAACGACCATAAGCCCCAGCTGATGGATAATGTAATATTACTGAAGTTTATTATATTTAACTTAACCTGTATGGTGCTGATTGACAGTTTGGCAGCATCCACAGGGACGTAAGTCCCTTCCAAAATCTTTGTTAGTGGAGGAGTCAGGGCTACTGCCTTAAGAGTTGTGCATACCGTCATTACAATAGACAGAGGAACATCCCCTTGAGCAATTAAGGTCACCTGAAAGGCTATTTCATAAAAAGCATTGAATGGAGTTGACTAAATGGCCTAGGCGGTGGCTAGGCGGGGGCTAAGCGGGGGCTAGGCGGGCAAGGAGGGCTAGGAGGGCGCTAGGCGGGCTAGGCAGGCGAGGCGGGCGCTGGCGCCTAGAAGAAAAAAAATAGTCATCTTGGAACTCCAAGGTCTGGGACGAGATAACGATGGTGCTATGAGGCGAGAGAGAGAGAGAGAGAAACGAGGATTGAAGAAGAAGAGAGGTTGCGAGTTATGTTTAGGGTTTAGAAAAGGGCCTGGGCTTCATAAAATACAACATTAAATGGATTTTGCATTATGAAATCACTAAAGTAACCACTAATAAGTAACAAATAACAAATAAATATTTTAATATTTTAAATCAAAAAAATATTATACTATTTGTTTAATACTAGCCCCTGCCAATTGTTTTATTTTTTATTTTTTATTTTATTTTTAAAATTAAGAAAAGATAACATGGGTAGTTATGTTCCATAAAAATAGGACTTATTATATGATTTTGTTTTTGTTTTTATTTTTATTTTTTTAAATATGAAAAAGTGTGAATTTACCATATTATCCTCATTTAATTAATAATTTCAAATGTTTGAATTAACCAATGGCATTTTCTTGTATTTTGAATGTTTCACCATTATCTGCCTTTTGCTTTATATATATAGATATAATTTATATATCCTTTTATTTTTCATGATTTTGGTATAAATTTATAATTTATAATACTAAATAATTTATTAAAAAAAGCATAGGCACTCATATAGGCTCCAATTACTCCTCTAGGTGTTGGGCCTTTGCCTGTAGCCCCCTTACTGCATAGTGATTTTTCGAACATTGGTATTAACATGTTGGTAAGTCGAGGTGTACCAGCACTTCAATTTATAACCCTGCAATTTTAACTGACTCCAATCGAGGTGTAGCACAGTTGTGACTGTGGTTGGTAATTTTGTTATCTTGTCATTTATTGAACCTACCTTCCTTCCTTTATGTGGTAACACTTGTGTTGTTGAACATAATCATGCAGACAGTGAAGAAAGAGATCTCGTGAATATTTTTGCTAGTTTCAGTCTAAAGCCTTCGAATCTTCCTGCTCAAGATGCTCCTTGGAAGTGGGTAACTAAAGCTTCATTGATGTTTCTTTCTTTAGGGGAGGCTTCATCCTTGATGCAGCACACCTGCAGAATTCATTGGTGGGTTAAAGACTACCATGTAATGCCAGGAACCAAGCCAAACAAAAAAAAAATTAGAAACTCAGAGACAATGAGGGGGGAAATTGACTCTTTCCAACTAACAGGAACAAGACATTTTCATTAAAGAGACTACCAATAGATTGATAGTGTTCTTACAGTCAACAAGGACAAGAATTCCAGGGCTACTCACCTTCAGCACACCTGATAAACCAGTGAGGGGTGTGTTTCTTTTAGTCTGCACTGTATATGGAGAGTCTGACTCTAATTAGAAGATAATTGTATTAATTTGATAAAGTTTTCTGTAACTGTCTCTCACCATAAAAAAATTTCACAATTAGCAGCATTGGAAACTCGATTTAAAAAAAAAAAAAAAAAAAAAAAAAAAAAAAAGGGACCCCAGTATAGCCGGTCGGCTATACTCTTTAAATATATTACATTTAACCGTATAGCCGGGCGGCCATACTATTTAGAGGATTATCCATTACTATTAGGCGTACGTGTTTTATTCGACAAAATTTTGCCAATTTAGAACTGAAAAGTTCGGCCACTATACAATATTTTAGTATAATTTATTTAAATATTTAAAATATATTATTTTTATTCAATAATATTCGAAAATTATGTGTACAATACGTGAATTTTGTATGCATTATAGAAAATTTTGTATAATACACATGTATTGAACTTCAAGAATACGTAGGTACATGTTCAATACATGTATTGTATGTTTGCTTGTTAAAAAAAACGTGTATTTTATCGAGTCTTTAAGACGTGTATGAAAAAGGGAAGTATTATTGAAAAATATGTACGTATGTGTATAATACGAGTATTAAACAGGAAAATGCTAAATTCTTTATACGATTAATAACTCCAGAAAAGTAAAAAATGAAAAGGGGACAATAGAAACTTGAGTAATGGCCGAATAGAAATGGATAATGTTCTAAACCAATCTTATCGATAAACGAAAATAAGAGAAAAAAATTATAAATAAAAAAAGGAGGATCCCAATATATATACTAGCCCCTTGGCACATGCTTACGCATGTGCCAATTGGTTTTCTTTTTTCTTTTTTATTTTATTTTTAGAATTAAGAAAATATAATATGGGTAGTTATGTTCCATAAAAGTAGGATTTATTATCTTATTTTGTTTTTAATTTTATTTTTTTTAATATAAAAAAATGTGAATTTACCATATTATCCTCATTCAATAAATAATTTCAATTCTTAATGTTTAAATTAACCAAGGGCATTTTCTGGTATTTTGAATGTTTCACCATTCTCTGCATTTTGCTATATATATATATATATATATATTTAAAGAGTGTGGCCGATCGGCTATACTATTTATTAAAAAATAAAAATAAAAAAAGGGACCCCAGTACAGCCGGCCAGCTAGCTACACTCTTTAAATATATTATATTTAAAGGTATCGCCGCGTGGCTATACTATTTTTTGTTTTCCGAAAAAGAAGACTCGCCTAGCCCTTAAAAAGAAAAAAAAAAGAAAAAAGAAAAAAAAGGGCAATTCCAGAAAAACATGCTCTCCAAAACCATATAATTTATGCATAAAACTACATAGAAACTAAAGTATATTTCTCATAAATAAGAACACCTACAATATTTACCTTCAGAAAGTAAGATATCAGCAATTTCATATTAACTGATTGTGTACTATCATCTTCAAATATCAGCATCTATTTCTATCTTTTGGAATAATGAGGTCATCATATTTTGTTTGGCATGGTTGATCATTATAGTTTGTAATCGTCATAAACTACCATTTTCTTATAGATAAACTACCATTTGCAAACCAGTGATCTATAACAAATATCCAAAAAGCAATTCATGCACAAGAACCAATTTATTGATCATCATATAAATTCCCAAAGAAGAAAAGGCTTGTAACTCACAAGTTAAGTAGCTTAGATGGTGCGGGACGTAATACAGTTAATGCCTCTTTCCACTGCCACTGGCGTTCAGATAATGAAAGAAGATGCTGCAAAATCGACAACTGCCATTCCCACTCGTCAATGAAATGTTTAGCAATCAACACTCTCCACTCCGATGCTTGTTTCCACCCCTACTTACGCCAGCATGATCTAGTTCAGTTATAAACTTATAGTTGAAGGAAGACAGTGATGTAATATATCAAGTAGTTCCCTGTGAAAAATACAACTAATTTGTTTCCTTCTTCACGTGTTAGATCAGTTTGCTCTGATGCACATGTGTAATGCGATTCAGAATAGCTCCAAGGTGAGGCACAATGAGCCAAATTGAGAGAAAGATCGTCCATATTTAAAAGCGAACTTATGACATTCGCCATCATGATCTGCATCATTACAGAAGATCTGCATCATTACCGAAGCATTATAAAATAATTACAATGAAGAACAAGAAGAAAGATGCAGCAAACTAATAAAACTGATGATATATATCTCAAACAAATAGAGAGCATTTACATTTCAAAGGAAAACAGGAAACTTCACCAGGCATGGTCCTTCATCACTCCAACCGCAAGAACAGCTAAATCCAGAGCATACCACATGTGCATAAGTTCAATATATGCTGCATCTTACCATATAATAAAATAGAACAGAGAAACGCGAAACCATTAACATGTGAAGAAAAGCATGTCAAATCCCAAAATGACAAAAATATGAAATACATTGAGTGCAAAATTCGTTTGCAGATCTAATTTAAGGGTTTGAGAAATCCATTTTTGCGATTGGGCCATAATTTTCCCTTGGATGCATAACGCACACACACACAACAAAAAAGACTTCCACACACTTGCGAGTTACAACACAATATGATAGTATTATTATATTAACGTATCAAAACTAACAGAAATATTATATTAACTTCTCTTGGGGGTGTTTGTTAAAGCATTCCAATGACTACTTTGGTGTAACTCATGTTGATTGGACAGAGTTTTGGGCTGAATGTAATCTGATTTCATATGTCATGTCATGATTGTTGGTCTGATTTTGATGGTTTTCTACAAGATATCTTGAAGACGAAAAGAACAAAGAAATAGTTTTCCCATCTTTGTTTTCTTTCTAGCACATCTTTCATGTAGGTTTTCTTTCTCTGTTTTGAATAAGATACAGTTTTTCTTGTAAAAACAACAAAGAAATAGACCAGAACAAGATTATTTTGAGGACTTACCCAAAGTGGACTTTGATTTCTAGTACGAAGTTCTCAACAAAAGGGTCTAACAGGTGATCTTCGCATGCTATTTGTTCTTTAGCAGACAACATCAACGACAATTTTCAATTCCATGCTTGACCAGAATTGACGTAGGCAACAGAAAAGGCAAGATCAAGCCGATAACATAAAGAATCACAAGGAAATTTTCGACAAATCGGGCTAGGCAGTGCCTAGGCGCTCGGCGCCCGCCTAGGCGGCCTAGGCGGCTCTGTGGAATATAAAATTAGTTTCTTTAGGTTTTTCTATTTTCTTTTTTGTAATTAAACAATATCTTTGCTTTATTTTAATTACTTTTATTAGTAATTATGTTTTAATTATTATTTCTTTAGTGAATAATTAGTATTAAATATTTTAATTGAATTCACAAATTATATTACTTAATAAATAGTAATTATTGTGTTTTAATATTTTTCCGACTTTAATTTTCATTGGGATAAATTATTATTTTTTCTGGAATAGCTAATTAATTAATATTTTTAATACAAATTTATAAATAAACCCAATCCTAGACATGTATTTATAAAAAAACCCAAGCACTATTTAAACATAGAAACACACCCAAAATCAACCCCAAAGTCAACTTTCTGGGTGTGTTTATAAATGGGTTTTGAGTGTGTGTAATGATGGGTTTTGGGTGTGTTTATATGTTTAAATAGTGCTTGGGTTTTTTTGTTTTATTTATTTTTTATTTTGGAATAGCTAATTAATTTATATTTTTAATTGAATAATATCTTAGTCTTATTTAATCAATATAATTACTAATTAGCTTTTAGTTATTATTTGTTTCATAAATTACTTATCAAATAGTAATTAATTTTTATGAATTATGTGTGTTCTTAAAAACCAAGAAAGTGGTTGCAACATAGTAAGTACATATCACAAAAGAACCAATACATATATATAGTATACTTGATTTGCTTATGAACTTAGTTCTTGATTGATTGGTTTGTTGTGGTCCTCAGAATACGCAATTGATGGGTTCCATTCGATAAAATCCGATATCTATATTTTTGGTGGGTTGATGGTAGAGATACCGAGTGGGAAGAGAAACATAATTTTGTACTTTTGATAAATTCTTTTAGGCATGGATGCTATACACAGAAGGCTGGTCAATTGAAGTGCTTGATACATCAATAGGGGACTCAGGTGATCCACATGAAGTTGTGAGATTTTTTCATGCATGTAGGTCTTTAATGTGTGCAGCGTAACCTGAGAGATAGGCCAAGCATGCCAATTACAGTTCTAATGCTAAGTGGACCTCAAAAACCTTGTTCTTATAGTGAAAGGGATCTCAATGAACTCGAAGTCGGTCATTCTTTTAAAGCATTTTCAACAAATGAACGCAAGTGCTTTAGATTTGGGGCAAAGATTCATGAAGTTCCAAATTGCGTGAGGAAGGATTTCCTAAAATGCCGCTATAATGTGCACGTGTTATAAGGTATGCAATTACAGTCACTTTAATCATATGCACTTAACGAGTTAGTGATAGGGGAAACCGGTTTATAATTTTTAGATTCTTTAGAGAGCATGTGTTTTTTTGTCATTTTTGACCTTTGTGTGATATTTACTATGTGTAGTCCTAGATGGCTATTTCAACTTTAAAGACTATTTTGAATCTCTATGTGATACTGTGGACTGTGGTAACGACTTCTATTTGCTTTGAAAGCTATTTAGAAGCTCAGGTAATTATATCTGTTTACTTGGCAGTCTCAACTCAAAGCATATATATACAGTTTGAGTTCGGTGTTGTATAACTTACTGAGAAAACTTGGGGAATTGAGCTATGCATATTCCCTTCTAATGGCTAGCTCACCTTACCCTCACCCTCATCCACACACTAGTAGTAACATTTTACAAATTGAATCAATGGTCAATAAGCTTTCCAATAACATATTTGTTCTAGCTAAGTAGCTGTGAGCCTGTGACAATGAGAGGGTACTAAAGAGATAGATACTACTACTTGTGTGTGTGGATTCGTGGCACCAAATTTTTGACACAAGTTTTGAAACAAGTTCTTGACCATAGGAGTCATCATTGGGTCCGGGAGCCCATGGACTGTTGGGGGCCCGCACAGCCCATCGAGAAAAAGCCTATCCCGGCCTGGCTTGTTGTTGAGTGGGCCGAGCTTGGGCTTAGGTGTCTAAAACTCAACCCAGCCCACAGGCTTAGCCCATTTGAGCCCAAGAAAGCTCTGTCTGGCCCGCCCATAAAAGCCCAACCCATCGGCTCACATACATATAAATATATATATATATATATATATATATATATATATACAATTTAGGGCTGTTTACGAAAGCTTAAACCCGCAACCAAACTAAACAACTACAATCGGATTTGATTTTTTTATTATTGTCAAAACCCAAAAAAAACAAGTGAATATGGCAAAACATAGAAACTCTATGAATATGGCAAAACATAGAAACTCCGTGAACATGACAAAGGCAAGGCAAAGAATACAGAAACCATGTGAACACAACAATGGCAAGGCAAAACAAAACCCTAAAAAGAGGGTAAGGCAAGCACACGTCATAAGAAACCCAAGGCTCTTATACAATGTTAAATTTCAGAGAGACGGGTCTTTGATGTATGATTTACATATGTCCCTGAAAGGTAATGATGATCATTATCAATTTGCACGTCTTGCTCGGTTTGCACAAATGAGAAAATAGAAAGATATAGTTGAAATAAAAAGTGAAGTTGATAGGTATTTGCTAGATCGTGTTAAAAATATTAAAAGTGAACAAAAGTTTGACACACTTAATTGGTAGAGGGTAAATTCCACTAGATATCATGTTTTATCTCTTCTTGCTATAGATGTGTTTGCTGTTCCAGTTTCAACAGTGGCCTCCGAGTCTGCCTTTAGCACTGGAGGTAGAATCATAGATCATTTCAGGAGTTCCTTGACTCCTAAGATGGTTGAGGCACTTACTTGTGGGCAGAATTGGCTGCAATCTTTTCCTATATCATTGGACAGTGAACTATTTGCTGAAGAGACGAAATTTTATGAACAAGTCGAGTCAGGTATGCCATCTATATTATATTGGTTTTCTTATTGAAATTAGAGGATCAGGTGCAGTTCTTGACTTAGTCAATTGGAAGCCAAACCTTTTAGCCTTCACTTACGTAATATATTTGCAGTAGAGTAGGTTTTCGTCCCTCTTTTTTCTTTTCTTAATCTAGTCTTTTGGGTTAAGGAGGACAAGAAAACAGAATTTCATATATATAATATATTTTTTAATCTACTCTTAATTGAAATTTGAGAAGAAAAAATAGAATGTCATATATATGTCCATGTTTTGTGATTAAAGTGTATCTGTGCATGTTCTATGGTTAAACATATTTGCTCACCTGTTGTTCAACTATGGAAGCTAATAATGTCATATTAGTTCACATGAAAAGATTGTGTTTGTACTTTTTTCCTTTGTAATGAACTCGATGTTATCACGTTTATTTTATCTTAGTAATGAAAACTTAATTTAGTTCATAGTTTGGCAGTTTCCCTGTGTTTTCTCTCACAGATTTGAATTAGAATGTTTTGATTTGAAATGCTCGTATGGTTGTGGCAAATTCCTGTAGAAGAAGAGCTTCGAAGGAGCAGGGACATGGCTAGTAAGGTGTCTACAACAACACAAGATGTGTGGGTTCTTTTTTGGTCAAATTCGGATATTGTTCCTTCCACTAAAAGGAAGTGTTTAGGTTTTTTTTTCATCATGTACATGTAAAACGAAACTCAATTTTCAAGTGTCAGTAAATTGTTCGTAATTATCTGCTCAAATGTTTCTAGACTGTTGTGAAGAGGTCGAGTTTTTCCTATCATTCTCAATGGGTTAGTTTCATGAGAACCTGAAGAAGAATATCAGACTTGGCACAGACTGGAAAAAAAAAAAAAAAAAAAAAAAAAAAAATTGGAGGAATTCCAGGTTGGG